TCCAAGCCTTCACACTAGATCATTGACTCTGGAGCCTCGGACCATGTCTGGGACTCCAAATGTATTTTCTTCTCTTTCTCGGTCCTCCATATCTCAAATAGTTACTATTGCTAAGGGTTCTACATCTCCCATTTGTGGTGTTGGTGATGTTGATCTCTCCTTCTTATCTTTATCATTTGTTTTATAAGTTCCTATGTTCCCTTTTAACCTTATGTCTGTTAGTAGATTAACCAAGTCACTTAATTGTTCCATAACCTTTTATCCCTCTTCTTGTGTGTTTYAGGATCTCAAGACGGGRATGAAGMTTGGTGGAGGGCATGAGGCAGGTGGATTGTATTACCTTGATGGTGGTGGCCCTCCAATAGCTTTTCAGTCGTCTCTTACTCCTCTTCAAAGGCATTGCAGACTTGGTCATCCTTCTCTCAAAGTTCTGAAGTTGCTGGTTCCTTCTTTGAGTCATCTTTCATCATTGGATTGTGAATCGTGTCAACTTAGAAAACATCATAGTCTCTTTCAATCCAAGAGTTGATAGTTGTGTTTTGAGTCATTTTTCTTTAGTTCATTCTAATGTTTGGGGTCCAATCAAAGTGATGCCATACAATGGCTATAAGTATTTTGTAATTTTTGTTSATAACTTTTCAAGGATGACATGGATTTATCGTATGAAAGACCACAGTAAATTGTTCTCTATTTCTCATAAATTTTATGCTGAAATACATACAAAGTTTGGTGTTCATATTAAAATTCTTCGCTCCGATAATGCAAAAGAGTACACCTCAACACCATTTCAGAAATAGTTAGAGCACCGTGGGATAATTCATCAAACCTCTTGTTCCTACACCCCACAACAAAACAGTGTAGTTGAACGGAAAAATCGACATCTCCTTGAAATTGCTCGGTCTACGATGCTTAATATAAATGTCCCAAAGCGTTTTTGAGTGATGTTGTCCTCGCATCATGTTTTCTCATCAATCGGATGCCTATGTCCATCCTTGGAAGTCAATCCCCCTTCTCAATGTTGTTTCCCACCTTGTCTCTGTTTCCTCTCACCCCGAGAGTCTTTGGGTGTGTTTGCTTTGTTCAAAATTTGGGGCCTAGTTTAGACAAGTTAGATGCACGAGCTACCAAGTGTATCTTCCTTGGATACTCCAGGACTCAGAAAGGGTATAAGTGCTATAACCCCAACTCCCATAAGTCATTTGTGTGCTCCGATGTCACCTTCTTTGAATCAGTCCCTTTTTTCTCGAATACTATGGCAGTGATTTAAAAGGCACGCCTAGGCGCTTAGGCGAGGCGCATTTTAGGGTAGGCACCTTGCCTAGGTCCTAGGCGCAACCCATTCAAAAGGCACACGCCTGGTGCGCCTTGCGCCTTAGCCCAGGCATGCACCTTTTGAAAATTTGCCGCTTTTTCCCTTTTTTGAGTCTGGCCACTGGGCTAGGGGCTCCGCCCCCGAACCCCCCTGCCACGCCCCTCGAGGCCAGCCCAAACAAGTCCATGTTAGGGTCTTAAATTCTTAGATTTTACACAAAAAATAATAATTTTATAGTTTAAATTGCTTTTAGGAAGATATTTTATTAAGATGAATGAATGGACAACATTACCAAATAGGGTTCGCTCGCTCACCGAAGCTTCAAGAACCCCCTATTTGGTAATGTTGTCCAATCATTCATCTTAATAAAATAAAAATATCTTCTTAAAATCAATTTAAACTATAAAATTATTATTTTTTGTGTGAAATCTAAGAATTTAAGACCCTAACATGGACTTATTTGGGCTTGCCTCGAGGTGCGTGGCACAAAGGCGGCTCGTAGAATTAGGAATATAATATATCACATTAGCTACTTGATGTAATTGAGAAAAAAAGAGATTATGGGTTTTATATGCTTGAAAATGTTTTATATGTTTGATTTCATTTTTAAATTCTCATTTGAATATGCTTTACATATTATATTTATGTATTTTAATTTTAAATAATAGGTTTTTTAAAACATTTATTTTAAAACTTAAGTTAATATTTTTATTAATATTATGTTTTATAATTTTTTGCATTTTTTTAAAATTGTGTGCCTTGCGCCTCAAGCGCAAAATGGCCCTTGCACTTTTAAACCACTACACTGTGGTTCCTTCTCCTTCCCCTATAGTTCCTCCTCCTGTCCCTGTTGAGGATCCTCTTCCCGTGGTCCCCATTCCAGTTGCAGATCCCCCTCCCGTGCCAGTTACTACTGAGAGGCCACCAATCAGACAAGTGTATACTCACAAAAGAGCACCGGCCCCTCCTCCAATTAAGCCCTCATCGACAGATCCTATGGTTGCTTCTTCTCCCTCGGACCTTGATCTTCCTATTGTCCCACGGAGAGGTAAACGCACTTGTACTTTTCATCCTATTTCACACTATGTTTCAGCTGCTCACCTTTCTGCTTCTCATCGCAACTTTATATCATTGCTATCATCTGTTTCCTTTCCCAAGACTGTCCAAGAAGCCCTTACCTCCCCAGGGTGGCGGCAAGCAATGGAAGAGGAACTATCTACTCTACAACACAACCACACATGGGGACTCACTGCTCTTCCTCCCGGTAAGCATGTTGTTGGGTGTAAGTGGGTCTACACAGTGAAGTATCTTCCAGATGGCAGTGTGGAACGATTGAAGGCCAAGTTAGTGGCTAAGGGCTATTCTTAGTTGTACGGTGTGGACTATATGGAGAGATTTTCTCCTGTGGATAAAATTAGTTCAGTTCAAGTGTTGATTTCATTAGTTGTTATGTATGGTTGGCCTCTTTTGCAACTTGACATTAAAAATGCCTTCCTGCATGGCGATCTCATTGAGTTGTATATGGAGCAACCACTAGGGTTTGTTGTTCAGGGGGAGGATGGTAAGGTTTATAGACTCAAAATGGCAATTTATGGATTGAAACAATCTCCACAAGCATGGTTTGGCAGGTTCAGTGAAGTAGTGAAAAACTTTGGGATGAAACAGTGTCAGGTAGACCATTATATGTTCAGCCATGACTCAAAAGATGGGAAAATCTTGCTAGTGGTGTATGTGGATGATATTGTCATAACTGGGAGTGACAGTAATGGGATTGACAGGTTGAAGAAATTTCTATAGGACCACTTCAATACGAAAGATTTGGGTAAACTGAAGTACTTCCTGGGAATAGTAGTTGCAAGGTCAAGAGATGGAATTAACATATGTCAAAGAAAATATGTTCTTGACCTACTTGAAGAAACAGGATTGTTAGGTGCTAAACCAACAAAGACTCCTATGGAATTGAATGTCAAGTTGAGTGTTGATGCAGGTGAGGAGTTTGATAATCCTGGAAGATATAGGAGGTTGGTGGGAAAGTTGAATTATCTGACTATTACCCGACCAAATATGTCATTTGCTGTGAGTATGGTGAGTCAGTTTAAGCAACATCCTCGGATTCCTCATTGGGAAGCAATTCTAAGGATTGTTAGGTACCTGAAGGGTGCTCCAGGCCATGGTTTGCTATATAAAAGTGGAGGGACTCTTGAGATAGTAGGGTACACAGATGCTAATTAGGCTAGTTCTGTATCAAACAGGAGATCAACTACAGGGTATTGTACCTTCCTTGGTAGCAATCTTGTAACTTGGAAGAGCAAGAAACAAACAGTGGTGGCAAGGAGTAGTGTAGAAGCTAAGTATAGAGCTATGGTTCATACCACATGTGAATTAGTATGGTTGAAGAACTTGCTACAAGAGATGGGGTTCTCAATTGACAAACCCATGAGACTATATTGTGATAACCAAGCAGCTGTTCACATCTCTTCCAATCCAGTCTTCCATGAGAGAACCAAGCATATTAAGGTTGCTTGTCACTTTGTAAGAGAGAAAGTGATCAGTGGAGTGATAACCACATCTCATGTGAGCTCGGGAAATCAGTGGGCAGATCTCTTTACAAAGAGATTGTCTCGAGGCAGAGTAGATTATATTTGTGACAAGCTGGGACTATATGACATATACTCTCCAGCTTAAGGGGGAGTGTTAGAGTTCACAAAACAGTGGTATTTTGGTCATTTGTGTTTATCTGTTTGAGAGTGAAAGGTCTATTTTATTCAGGTCTAAGTTGTGTGTCCCATCACTTATGAGGGGCAATATGGTCTTTCTTGTAACTATGTTTATTTTCAGATAAATACAAGTGGGTCGACTAGAGAGGATAAATTTCCCTCATCTAGCCAAACCCTTCTTCTCCTCTTCTTCCTCTTCTTCTTCTCTACTTTAACCTAGAACTGAATAGGGATTTCAAGACATGTCATCGGAGGTGTCGTTTTGGCCAGCTATAGAAGTGATAGAGTAGGAGGCATCTAAACCATCTACAACAGTCTGATAGGCCTTTTTGTTCCCTTTCTTCTGATTTGGACCACTACCTTTCTGAGGCCAGGTAGGACATTCAGTGATAATGTGGCCGACCTGCTTGCAATAGGTGCATGTGTTTTTCTTCTTACAATAGGAGACAACATGCCCATACTCCTTACATTCATAACATTGTATCTTAGAAAAATCCTTCTTCCCTTTCGGTTTAGTTTCTAGGAAGACAACATCAATGTTGGAATCCTTCCTTCCATCCAATGAAGTCTGTGTAGTCAATCTAGTTTCTGCCCTCAAAATCTACCCAAGGATAGTATCTAAGTCAGGAAGTGTTCCTCGGCTTAGGATATTAGATCGGACAACTTCAAATTCTGGCCTTAGATGCATTAAAAACTGCATAATTTTTCTCCTGTCAAAGTGTTCCTTCATGTATTTAACACAATAGTATGAAGGATCCTCTCCCATGTGAACTAACTCATATTTTCTCCAAAGGTTGATGAATCTGGCATAGTATTCTGGACCTTTCTATCTCCCTGATAATATTGAGAAAATGTCAACCTCTATCTGATACTATCTAGAGATATTCAATTGCTGATAAACTTTCCCAAGTTAGTGATACATCTCATAGGCTGTCATGTACCCTCTCATAGGGATCACAATCAGTTTCGGCTTATCCTACAATCTGTGATGCAAATTTTGCATTGTCAATCTTCCATTGATTAAGTCCCTTAATGTCAGAGTCATCCGGTTTAGATACAGATCCATCTAGGTATCCCCAAAGACCCTTAGCTTCAACATGGAACTGAAAGTTAAACTTCCATAATGTGTAGTTTGTACCATTGAACATAATAGGAAGAACCTCCAGCCTTTCTGATGCCATTGGAAGGCAAAAGGCAACAACACAACCTTCCAAAAACCAAAAAAAAAAAGTCAAACCAGAGAAAGAGGAGAAGAATACCTTTCTGTTGATGTCCAAAAAAGGCAACTGTATAGTTCTGCCGAACTGAAGAGTGGATCAAAACCCCTCAAAGACAACCGCTCCAAACCAAACCAAAGGGATTCAGTAGATCTGCTCTAGGCGACGCCAAATCTAAAATTTCAGGCTGATCCCATGTCTCTATAGGGAGATCTGAGAAGAAAGCTGAATCCGATGGCGCAACAGTCCAAAAAACAGATCTGTAGTCGATCCAGGAAGAGGATTAAAAAAGACACTCAAGAACTTCCAAATACTGTTAGGGAGTTCTTGAATCAGTAGTAGCCAGGATGTTATGTGAAGTTCAGGTCGTGACCTGCTCTGATACCATGTCAGAGTCAGTTCGAGAGTCAGAAGAGAGAGAAAGAGAGAGAAGAGAACACAGCAGAATGGTGGGTGTGACACCTTGTGTCAGTCGACACCCTAAAAGATATATTTATATTAAAAGGTAAAAGGACAAATCTGCCCTTAATGTACAAGAGAAAGATAGTACGAAGAATAGTTATCCAACAAAGAAGAGTAAAAGTACAAAAATAGCCCTACGACTAGATTTCACAATCTCTATACATTAATACAAAAAAATAAAAGGATAAAGTGAAGAATAATTACCTTTTGAAACATCTTTTCTTGCCAATCAGAATCATTTAGATGTCCTGTTTGAGCAGTGGAGTCTATTGGTGCTACAACATGACAAAAGAAGGTAAAAAGAAATAGTCAATACACTCATTTCACAAAAATTCATTAAAAAGAAAAATAAAAGGAACTTTCTATGTACAAAACCAGGGTGTCAGTTGGGGTCACTACACAGTGCGTACTTGTATCCAAAAAGTCAACTACTCCATATTGCACCAGTGCAATTGTGAGATAAGGATAATGGAAGACCATGGGGATTTAGTATCAATTTTCCTGCTCTTGTAGAATAAGATAATTTGACTCAAAATAAAGCAGAGAATTTCTACCATATAATACAAGGAGTAGGGGATGCACTAAGGGAAGAAACACTGACACTCTTGCAAGGGATGAGGATTGCTAAATAGCTTAAATTCAGGAAAAAGGAAGTGTAAGTGACTCAAAACTGTTAGTGGGACGGATGTTGTCTACCAGTTTGGGAATTTGGAGTCATAGACAAGCTATAAGGGAGTTGAGATATTTAGAAAGGGACATAGGGGTAAGGTTTAGATGGGTTAGAAGACCAGCAAATAGTTTGGCAGATTCCTTGGCCATACAAGGGGCAAATAGGGAACTTTTTGTTTTGGGCAGCTTTGTAAAGATTGTTTTCCCTTTTGGGCTTTACCTCTTATTTTGGGATGTTTTCTCATCTTACTCAGCAGATGATATCAGGAGAAGTGGGGGATGTGGAAGCAATCTCCTCTAAAAGGATAGTGGTTCAAAGGTGCTGGACACCACCTTAGGCAGGCTTTATTAAGTTCAATTTTGATGGAAGCAGCTTTGGAAATCTGGGTGCCAACCCCATATAGCTGGGATAAGGCTTGGATGATGATGATGATGAGCTTTGGAAATCTAGGTCCTATAATGGGAGAAGTTTTCAGGGAAAAAGGTCATATTAAAGAAATGTTTTTGGGTCCACTTGGAATTAAGGATCCCACAAGGGCTGAACTCTTTGATGTTCTCCAACATATGCAAAAGGCAATAGATTATGAGTATGAACAAACTAATCATTGAAGGTGACTCAAAGGTAGTGACTGGATGGATGAAGGATAGTGAGAGAGCATATCCTACAAAAGCAAACCAAGGAAGATTAAATGGCTGACTAGGAATATGCGAGTAAAAATCCAACGGATACAGAAGTCGACAAATGATATGGCTGATTTGCTAGACAAACAAGGGGTCACTAGGGGTCGATTTTATTGGGCTCAATTGTAGAGCGAAAGAATGCAATGGGATAAGAAGTAGAATTTCTCCTCTTTGAGGGGTGTATAAGCACTTATGTACATATGTCATTCAAATTTAATAAAATCTTATTGTTACTTATCAAAAGAAAAAAAGAAATTAATGATCTTAGATTTATTTGAAATGAAATAATAAATCACTTAACACCACCTGTTTGTCATCTAAATCAAAACATATAATCTCTTATATTACTAATCAATTAAACAAATAAATTAATGCACACACCAAAGATACCAGCATTCAGAATAACTGGTACTAACAATTGTGTAACACTGTAATGTTTATGGTAAGTCAAGGGGGAAACCTTGGTCCCAATGGTAGTCAAGGTGGTTTTCTGAAAAAACCTTTATTCTTAAAAAATACCCAACAATCTACACCATATCACCACTGTGGCAACTCCATACTAGAAGACCACTGTTTGAAAGAGAGACTAATCTGTTCTCCACCTTATCTTTTATTTTATGCTTTATTCCTAATTTATACACCATCATCCAATCATGTTCCATCACAAACACTTAAAGAAACAGCATGGATGTAAAAAATAAAAGCATATACCATATGCTTAGTCAACCTAGTTAAGTAGTCAATGCTTAGTCACACTTCATCATGAGTATCAACCGACTAGTTAGTGATGCAGTATGTCTGGCCTTCAACTAACTAGTTGGTTGAAAACTAGTTGACACTTTGGTAAGACAGGATATAATTGATATTTCAGGTGTCTCAAACCTCATATTAAACCTATTTTACAGCAACTACCCTCCTTCAGCAAGCAACTTTTTGCAAACGTCCATTCTCATTTCATCAGCAAAGCTCTTTTCATTATCCCAAACTTATCTTATGCCCAAAGAAAAGGACCTGCAGGTTGAATTCATAGAAACTAAATATTCTCCTTCCCCCCTAACATTTCAAAAAATGTAATGATAACTATTGTAATGCTATTGGAAACATACTTAAGTAATTTAGGCCCCGTTTGGTTTGCAGGAATAGGGGTCTGGAATCAGAATCAGAATGGACTATTCTGATTTCAACTGTTTGGTTGGGTGGAATCAGTATCCCATTCCCATTCCTGATGGAATGGCATTCCCCCATTTGAGGGAATGGCCATTCCCTGCCCTTGGGAATGAAATCTCATTCCTGCTGATTCTAATTCCTATTTCCATTGCTGTCTGAATCAAACAGACTATGGGAATAGACCACTCCGATTCTGATTCCAAAGGATTTTGATTCTGATTCCAACTGCAAACCAAATGGACCCTTAGATATAGACAATAGATTATCATGCTCAAATGGACAATTAAGGCCTCATTTGGTTTGTGGGAATAGGGGTCTGGAATCGGAATCGGAATGGGCTATTCCGATTCCAACTGTTTGGTTGGGCATAATCGGAATCCTATTCCCATTCCTTCTGGAATGGCATTCCCCCATTTGAGTGAATGGCCATTCCCTGCCCCTCCCTTGGGAATGGAATCCCATTCCTGCTCACTCCCATTTCCATTCTCATTCCTGTCTGAACCAAACAGACTATGGGAGTGGACCATTCCAATTCCGATTCCAACTGCAAACCAAATGGACCCTAAGTTATTGTGCCACTTCCTCCAGATGGTAAATAAGATATTTCCCAATAAGATCATTTTTCCTGTTTAATCACTAAATTCTTCTGGAGACCAGCCAGCCAATACACAAAATTGAGTCCAGTGTAAGACTAGAAAAGCAATTGATATAGTGTCCCAAGATCCACAAAATAAGTAAATAAAGGGTGTCATCCATCCCACCCAAACAAATTATTTTTCTTTAAGAATGACTATGGTTCTCAACTTTTCCTCTTTGGATCTAGAAACATTAAGAAATTTCATAGCATAATCCATATATTTCAAATGAGAGACCAACCACTAGTACATCATCTCTTCAAGCTTCTCATTGCAGGAATTACGATTTGTATGTCTTTTTATATAAAAAAAAGAAAAAAAACTTCTTGTTAATACTTGTAATTGAATATACTTCAGTAAAATATAATCTGGGGGGTACGATTTGTATATGTTTTATATAGGAAATTATGATTTTTATATAGCCTCTCCCCCTCTCCTCCTAAGGTCAAGCATATTATTGTCTTCTCTTCTTTCCTCTCCTTTCTTTTTTTTTTTTGATAAGTATTCTTCTCCTTTCTTTCCTCCATCAATCTCTTTTTATCATTGGGTGTCTATTGGGGGGCTTCTTTCTTGTATCAGGGAGGGTTTGATTCTTTCATGGCTACCATTATACTTCAGTTCTTTTTCTTCCATTAGATTAATGTGCCTATCAAAAAGAAAAAATTGAGGCACATGTAATTGCAACCACATACTTGATGAGACTTCTGGAAGCACTCTTTGTGACTGAAACAATTGCTTCTGCTGCTCCATTACATTCTGAGGATGATGCAAGGTACTGGATGTTTGAAACTTTTGCTGCATATCCCGTTGTAATGAATTAGACTGCTGTTGAAATCCCAATTCCTGTTGTAACTGTGCTGTCTGTGACTGAAACTGAGATATCAGTTGTTGCTGCGGTGTTTGTGATTGTGATTGTTGTCCTTGTGAAGGCAACGAAGTTGCTGACATCTGCTGAATCTGTTGTTGGTGTGCTGATGCAGCCTTGGCTTGTTGCAGGATGTGCACTGAAGTTTGATGTTGTTGCATGTTTGAGAGACCTGACTGGGGTCCAAGCAACTGCTTCTGCTGTAATCCAGAAAATTTACTTTGTGAAACTAACTGCTGCTCATGTAAGTTTGAATTGTTGTTCTGCCAACTGAGAAACTGTTGCTGTTGCAGAATATCGGGCAAATTATTTGGGAGGCTTAGCAACATCTGCTGCTGCTGTTGCTGTTGTTGTTGCTGCTGCTGCAAGTCCCCAACACTGCTTTGGTGTCCAAGCAGCTGATTATGTTGTAAGTTTGATACACTTTGTTGCCCTATTAACAAATTTTGTTTTTGTGGTGGTAACATCAACTGCTGAGACATTGTTGCTTGTTGCTGGTAAGCAAAAGGAGTCCGCTGGTGAACAGACTGTTGCAACTGTTGCTGTTGACTGAGGATTGACTGTGAATGTTGCTGCAGCATGGATGCCATTGATTGTTGAACAGAAGATTGCTGATTCTGTTGATGGTCAGAGCAAGGAGATTGCATTTCAGAAGGTTGTGTCTGCTGAACAGTTGACTGGTTGGATTGGAAACCTGATGAACTCTGCACAAGGGATTCCTGAGATGGCTTCACCTGATTGGGCTCTAAGAGGTTCTGCTGTTGCTGCTGGATGTGGGATTGGATAAGAGTGGGTTGAATATTTCCATGATGGAGCTTCTGCTTAAAAAGCTGATTCTGAAGCTGCTTCTGCTGGTAAATATGTTGCTGTGGATTCTGAGACTGCTGCTGGTGCTTTTGCGGGAGATGCTGCCTTCCATGCATCTGCCTCTGTGAATTACCAAAAATGTTTGATATCATGCCTTGTCCAACTGAATGATTTGTCTCATTCTGTGAAATTTCAGATATATTCTGCAAATTTGAATTCTGGCTACCAACAATTGAAATGGAGTTCTGAGTAAGATCAGTCAAAGATGGCAGTCCTGATGCTAAACCGGTAGAACTTTGTACTCCAGTAGATGCAATGGTGTTTTGAATGCTCTCAGAAAACAGTTGTGGGCACGCCTGAGATTGATTTGCCAAGGGAACTACTAGTGACTGCCCTTGCTTGTCCACTTGGGATGGAGTATATTGAGATGCTATTTTAAATAAACAGATTTCAGCTGAATGGGAACTTGATTAAATATAAAGGCACTTACATGTGTTTTCTAAATTGAATATAAAAAGTCAAGAGTTAATTCTTTCTAAATTAGAGACAAGATATTGTTAAGAGAAAAAGAAGGCAAACATACAACCTTTTTGTCAATCAAGGACAACTGAGATGAAGAAAGTCATTGGGTGGAAAGGTTTAAATCAAAGAATGTTTTTAGAACAAAGCATCAGTTGAAAAACAGTCCTCTTGATGTATGGAACTGCTTGAGATTAGATGCAAACCAGAAAACAAACAAACAAGAGATGACTAAGAGGAAGAAGAGAGAGAGAGCTGGCGGCAATGAGAGTTAGAGAGTGAGAGGTTCGAACTAARCCTCCCTCTAACACTCTAAACATTTTATTAAGTTAATCTTTGAAATATTACAAAGAGGCCCTTGAGTGGGCAAGAAATTACAAAAAACATAACATTACAGAGTATGGGCCTAGAATAAGGCCCATTACAGAGGGAAACATAACATAACATGAAATGACARTCTATGGGCCATTCGGCCCATCTCCTCTACAGCATCATAAGAGGATGGGGAGAGTAGGAATCTCAGAACAACATAGAAGTGGATATCAGGAGAAAGAATGTTTAATAATGTTCACTTCATAGGAATTTTTCTTTATAATCTTGTTGTGCTAATGGAAAGACCAATCAAGAGTTCTTTTGGTGCATCTTTCTTGTGGGTGTACAATGCCTTTTGTAATGTTGATGTGGGTTTATCTTTTTTAAGCTCATTTGATATATTCACATAGTAATGTAATACCGTTTTATTTTCTCAAAAAATTGTTTGTTAACATTTTTTTAAAACTATAAAGAACATATTCTTTTAGATAAGTGTATCATTTATCAAGTGATAAAAATATTTCTTCAAAATGAATGCATCATTTTAAGATATCTTCTTCCTGCACTTAGACTAAATTTTCAAGATTTAAAAACAACTATTCACTAATTAAATTATAATATAATACACAAAAATACAGGTTGTTGATATTTTAGGTTGCAAATTAATTGTTATCCATTTGGACTATTATCTGATAGCATTTGAGTGGTAACCTCTATTAAGGAGTCATATAACCTTTCTGACTTCCTCCATATAAGGAACTTCTCTGAAAAAGAAAGAAAGAAAGAAGAGCTGATTGAGGTCATAACAGTTAGGGTGATGCAATGGCTGAAAACTTTGGATTTGTTTGCTGATGTATCTACAGGTATGATGCTGAACAATTGGAAGGAAGTGCCATCTTCTGTGCCGGCTCAGACATTGGTGTGTCCTTTGTGGTCACTTCCAGCCCCAGGGTTTATGATGTAAAACTTTGATGGGAGTAGTGAAGGAAGGCAAAGGAGCTCAACATCCAAAAGTTGATTATTGAAGGAGACTCACAGCTAGTGCTAAATTGGTTAAGGAAAGGTAATTGTTTTTGGATCTATGCTCATGAGAGGAGGGTAGTTAAGTGGTTAATGAGAGAAGTGGAAATTCAGGTTCATTGGGTGAAGAGAACTGCAAATGACTTTGCTGATGCGGTTCAGTATAAGATCAATCATGAAATTTCAGATTTCAAAATTACCAGGAAATTGGTTCCAGGGTGGGTCAGAAAATTTTTTTAAAAAAATTAAGCCAGCCACTATATCTGGTTTGGCCATGTCTAATCAGATTTCTAACCCTTTCAAAAAAGATGGCACTTCATACTTTGTAAATATCTTCAAAAATAATATCTCTCTCTTAGACTTCTCTTATTTCATTCTTCTCTTCTTCTTCTTTCTTTTTTAATTTTTTATTACATATACAAAATTAAAAGCAAGAATATACAAGTCCATCATGCTTGACAATAGCGAACTACAATCCATAAAATGCAAAATGAAAGAAACAAAGATTTTAAACAAAATTATACCCATTGCATCAGGTGAAATGCCTTTGGATCATTGATTACCTAAATCTTGGGGATTTGGATTGCTAGCAGCAGAGTTTGATGGTACAAAGTTATTTGTATCAGTATTCTGAGGTTTTGTCCATATCATCGACAAGTTTGCATATATTCTCTTCTCATAATCATCCTGGAAGTAGAAATTAAGAACAATCATCTCCCTGAAAACTGAAAGCTTCAAAATGAATGCCTAAATAATTAAGCCACTCTGCAATAATAAAGAAGGGAGATCAGGGATTAACTGGTGCTGTCTTTCATAATATTAAAAGTGTAAAATGGATCATATGGTGTAGATGGGAGACTAGGGTAAAGACAAAAGTGGACTATAGAACAACTATATGTGCACTTTGCATAAATGAAGTTAATGGAGTCCAAATCATAAACCAAAGGATGACAAATAGTTCATATTTTATATTTTCTTCCTGGTAAATTGTTTGGTGCAAATTATTTATTAATGAAAAAAAATTCATTATTATGATGTAAAATCATGTCAAATGTTCTGCTTGAGTAATTTAAGAGCAGCAGAGTTGTGAAAACAAATATATAGATTATATATATATATATATACAGATATAGATAGGCTCATAGACAAGACATTTGAGAAATGGATATACCTTGCTTTCAGCTGTAGTATAAATCTTCTGCTCAAGTCTCTCAGCAATCTCCTTAAAATTAGCATAAGGAGGGGCAGAAATTGAATGAATACCTTTTGTGTTCAAATGATCCATTCTATGCATTCCAAACAAACAAATGAACAAAAAACTTTAGTAAGTTGTTTCCTATGTGTTAAGAAAAAGCTCCAACTGGTAAATAGATCTTAATATATAAATAAACTTGGAAAATCTTATTGAATGCTGCAAGCCCCAATAAGATGTCTAAAGAAACTGATGATGTCTACAGAAACTGATGGAATTAAAATCAAATACACATATCAAACGGATACTGATAAATCTTGAATTAAAAAAAAATGTAGAATATTATTACTTTTAATACTACATTATTCTCCATGATAATCAACAGTTATTCTAACATAGTAACATATCTTTGAAATAGTGCCATCATACTCAACTATCAATGACCCAAGATAGCTCAACTTGTTCCTAATCTTGTCTGCCAAAGTTGAGCCTAAGATTAACTTTGCGGTTAAAAAACCAATATGGACAAACTTATAATATGTCTCAATAAGATGTCTACAGAAACTGATGGAATTAAAATCAAATACACATATCAAACGGATACTGATAAATCTTGAATTAAAAAATGTAGAATATTATTACTTTTAATACTATATTATTCTTCATGATAATCAACAGTTATTCTAGCATAGTAACATATCTTCGAAATAGTGCCATCATACTCGACTATCAATGACCCAAGATAGCTCAACTTGTTCCTAATCTTGTCTGCCAAAGTTGAGCCTAAGATTAACTTTGCCGTTAAAAAACCAATATGGACAAACTTATAGCTAGAATCAACTTGCTAGTGTGGTTGTCAAGGCATATAGGAGATCCCAAAATTATCCAGAAGTGTGTTTCAGTGTCTAGGGACGCAGCACAGGGACATCCCCTCTATTAAAAGAACTCATTAAGAGTGAATATTTGGTAAGGGACATTTACAGGGGACATCTCTCTAGGTAACCCAGATTGTTTAACTTGAAACACGTTGGATTAAACCTCAAGGATAAAGGCATAAAGCCTTGCACCCAATTCACCTCCCTCTTTGGTCAAATAACCTGGGTAACACTCTCCCCCTAATTAAATCCTTCTCTAATTCCACTCATTCTCTTTTAAGAAAGAAAGGAACAAAAATCAGCACCTAGGGGCATAATTTGCCCCTTGTTTATTTCTTTTAAAAATAAAGGAAGTAAATAATAATGCCTTTTTCTTGAATTTTCTCCTCCTCCCCCTCCAAAGAAAACACAAAGGTTCCCATTTTTTTCCCTAATAACACCCTTTCTCTTATGCACACACTGGTATCTCTTTCTATAGTTCTTTAGAAACAATCTTTATTGAAACCCATTCAGTGTTTGCTCGTGAAACTCTTTTTACTGTACTTATGATTTAGCTTTAGATGTCTAAATTTGAGACTTTTTAAACTAACAAGACAACGAAGTATTGTTTGGATATATTAAACTTATGTAAGTCCTTGTTCTATATTGTGAATTATTCCATTTCTCATTTAACTCTATTAACTATTATAAGCTTTTAGTAAAATTTTAGCATGTTGGTAGAATTAATCATAAATTGTTAAAGTTTAAATATCAAAGATAATAAGAAAGAACAATTTAGACCATGGAAATACCAATTAAACAACTCAGGTGAAATTCCCAGTCAACCTAAGAAAAAAAACAAAAAAAACAACATCAAAGTTTAGTGTTGATGCAGGACCAGATAACTTTTACTTTATGAAAGAGTGCTCAGAACAGTATTTTTTGTACACGTTTTTCTAATAAAATTGCACAGCTTCTTGGGTCCAACTATGCCACTGGAAAGGAATGGTACCTAAAAAACTTATGACCAATCAACCGGTATCATAAAAATAGTAACACATGAGCTGTTAGACCTCAAAATTCACCAAGGAGGGTACTGATTGGTCAAATTTCCTCCAGTATCATACCTTTACGGCACCATAGATATTGCCAAATTTCTTATTATAATGACAGGATTCTTACGGTCTGCTATTCTTATTTACTTATGGTGGGTTTTTTTGGGCAAAAATAAACATCAATTCATTGAAGAGATATGTAGAGAACAGTAATGTGGTCCCCACTGTGTTCGTTGGTTTATGATTATAGTTAGTTTCAGTTAGCAGCTAATTCAGTGGGTAGTTTTATTAGTTCTTTTTATTTCTTTTGCCATGTAAGCAGTAAGGGTAATTCAGCCCTTTCACCTTTTATTTGAGTATTAATATAAATTGTAGAGTGGGGCGACAAGATGGTCAACACTCTCTTTTCTGAATTCCTCTCTTCGAGTTCTCCTTCACTTCTTCTCTTCATCTTCTTCTTTCCTTCTCAATCTTTTCTTTGTTTATTTCACATTGTACCTAGGACAGATTGCAGTCCCATTCGACTACTTGGTATCAGAGCCAACCTAGGAGTTCTTATGCTAGTCTAATCAGGCTGACTACGTGAGAACTTCCTAGGGTTGGAAGTTTCAGCAGAGATATGATCATTGACTGGTTCTTGGAGGTTGCTGGCAGTGTGCAATTGATGCCCAAAGGTTTGTAGGGCCTTGGTGAGTGTTCAGCAATCAGGAAAAATCAGAAGAAGGGAAGAAATCTCAGTTTTAGGGTTCAGACCAAGGTTTGAAGGTGGCAGTTAGACCTTTCTGAGTAAGTTGAAATCTTTTCTTGAGATCGAACCTTAAAAGACATTCCTTTTATCAATCTGGGAGGTTCGGTTGGAAGATCTTTAGTTCTCTCCTGAGATTTTAGGGTTTCTTTCTTGACCTACGATCAGTTCTAGGATTAAAACCCTAAAGTTTATGCTTGTTGCCAATTCTAGGGCAATAATTAGACCAGTTTCAGCATTCAAGAGTGAGTTTTCTGCTTTCTGGAAAACTAACAAATCTGATTCATCTTTTTTGGGTGGTGGTTGAACCTTCTAGGTAAGTTGTCATGCAAACTCTGGGTGTAATTTCACCTATTTCAGTTCTAAAAAGGGGTTTTTTGACCTATAACTTGAGAAGGGCTGGCAACAATGGAGTTTAAAAATCAAGGGGAAGGTTCTTTGGGGGCTGGTGGTTCTGGTAGCATGCCTGAGAACAATTTTCAGATTACCACTGTCAAGTTTGACGGATCAAATTACTTGGAGTGGGCCCAATCAACCATGATGGCCATTGGGGGTAGAGGGAAACTGAATTATTTGTTGGGGGATGTGAAGGAACCAACTAAGGAGGACCCAATCTATGCCAAATGGATTCAAGAGAACTTTTTTTTTTTGATAAATGAGAACTATTTGGTTATGACATGATTGTGCAACTCCATGTAGCCACACATCATCCGAAACAACTTTTGGCCAAAACAACTAAGGAAAATTGGGACATTATGAAAGAGGCCTACTCCCAACCCCTTAATATTGCTAGGGCTTATGAGCTGAGATGTGAAGTTAATAATCTTAAGCAAGGAGAGAAACCAGTCTCAGTTTACTTCTCAACCTTGAAATCCTTATGGCTCAACCCTGAAATCCTTATGGCATGAAATTGACCACCTAGAAACAATTGAGTGGGAAAATCAAAAGGATGCACAGACTTACAGAAAGCAAGTAGAAACTAATAGGGTGTTTGAATTCCTAGCCGGTCTGAATTCTGAATATGATATTGTGAGACAACAACTTCTCACAAGAAAAAGTGTGACCTTATCACAAGCCTACTCCTTAGTGCATAGTGAAGAGAGTAGGAGAAAGGTTATGTTGCAACATCAGCCTTTTGAATCAGCCTTGGCAGCAGTTAAACCAAAGTTTGGGGGTGATAAGGAGAGGGATATGAAGAAGGAAGATAAGAGGGACCTAGTATGTGAACATTGCAAGAAACCTAAACATGCTAAAAGACACTTGTTGGAAATTACATCCACATCTAGTTCCAGCAAAACTCAGAAACAAAAAGGGAAATGCCAATGTGGTTGTTACTACTGATTGTGCAACCCCATTAGGCACAAGAGCCACATCCCTAGACACCTTAGCTGCTGACCGGGCTGCTCTGGCTCAGTTGGAGAGTGAAGTTGGTAATTCAACACCATTATCTCAGCCGTCAGTCACAACATCTACTCCTCCCACTACAGTTTTTGCTCATTCAGGTACACAGACCTCAACTTATCATGCTTCAGCCCCAAGTAACACTGAACCCTATTGGGTGATAGGTTCAAGTGCATCTGATCATATGACTGGTTTGTCCTCACTATTTACTACCTATCACTTATCCTCTGGCAGAGACAAAGTGTCTATTGCTAATGACTCTCTTGTTTCCATTTCTGGCAAGGGAGACATCAAGTTCTCTAATGTCATTTCTTTGTCTTCAGTTTTACATGTTCCTAAACTTAGTACTAATTTGCTTTCAGTTAGTAGCATTACTAAAATCTAAAATTGTTCAATAACCTTTTTCCTTGATCGATGTGTTTTTCAGGATTTGGAGACAAGGAAGGTGATTGGAATTGGCCGTGAGACGAATGGAATCTATCTACTTGGAGGGAGCTCACATGGGGAAGATAGTGAAGTTAGCAGGTCTTTTGTTTCTCAGTCTGTTGGTCAGGTTATGCTTTGGCATAATCGATTGGGTCATTTATCTTTTAGGTCTTTGAAAAGTTTGTTTCCTAGTCTGTTTGAGTATGTCCAGATGTCCAATTTGAAATGTGAAATTTGTGAACTTGCAAAGCATTGTAGAACAACCTATTCATTGAGTAATAAAAAAAGTAGTATTCTTTTTGAAATTGTGCATACCGATGTTTGGGGACCTTATCACATCACTACTATGGGGGGTACAGATATTTATTGTTGTTTGTTAATGACTATACCCGCTTTTCTTGGGTTTACCTTATGCGTTCTCGAGATGAGGTTCCTACCTTAACCCGGATCTTTCATTAGATGATTTTTGTGAGTTGAAATGTTGTAGCCGAAGTAGTAGAAGAGAGGAGGAGACCAAGAGGTTCTGAGAATGTCGAACTGCTTAACCCAGTCGACAGTACTATCATTTATATTAGATTATAGTACAATGTTACAGGAAATGTCTAGAATGCCCCTGACTAGTGATGGGACACCTAGACTACTTAAAACACCAAATAAACTTAGGCCCATTAACACAGGCCCAGTACATAACAACTTAAACACAAATACAGGTTAATAAGAACACTTATCAACCGAACCATCAATACATAAAACCCTTCAACCTAACACTCCCCCTCAAAATAAGCATGGATGTCAATCATGTTTAGCTTGCCAAGAAGGTCCACGAATTTTGCTGCAGCCAACCCTTTAGTTAGTACATCTGCAATTTGCATCTCAGATGGAGTATAAGGAATGCAGAGTTCTCCCGAGACTATTCTCTCTCTAACAAAATGTCGGTCGATCTCAATATGATTTGTCCTGTCATGTTGCACAGGGTTATTTGCAATGTTGATGGCAGCCTTGTTGTCACAATACAGTCTGAGAGGGCCCTCAGCTTTAATGCCAAGCTCATTAAGAAGAGCCCTGAGCCATAGGAGTTCAGCAACCCCGTGAGCCATAGCTCGATATTCAGCTTCGGCACTTGATCTAGCAACTACATTCTGCTTCTTACTGCGCCATGTGAAAGCTAAACTACTGTAGCCGAAGTAGTAGAAAAGAGAAGAAGAAGAAGAAGAGATGCTGGAATGTCTACTTGCCTTACCCAGTCGACAGTACTATTATTTATATTAAAGTATAGTACAATGTTACATGAAATGACAGGGATGCCCCTGATTAGTGATGGGACACCCAGACAACTTAAAACACTAAACAAACTTAGGCCCATTAACACATGCCCAGTATGTGTGTTGGAATTACCTTGGATTGCAGAGACAGATTGATCCGAGTCCAACTGGTTACTGTCATGAGTTTGATAACCCTTTTTCCTTCTATTGTAGGTGATTCGTATCTCTTTCTGTTCCCTACTGTAGCCTTCAGAAATATCTGCAGTATCAGAAGAGGTAACCGGTACAGTGGGAGCCTCACTAGGTTGACCCGAGATGCCACAACTAGGAGTAGAAGAAGAGGATGGAAGGCCCGAGGCAGATAGGAGAACAAAAAAAAGGAGAATGAGAATCCTCTTCCATCCCACTAGTCTCCCCCTGAAGAAGATTCTGAGAAGATTGAAAATTGGGTTGAGACTCAAAAAAGACCACATCTCTGGTGACATACTTTCTCTTGGAGACAGGATCATAACACTTGTAACCCTTTTGTGTAGGAGAATACCACAAAAATATTCCTTTCGTAGCCCGAAGATCCAACTTGGTTTTCTTTGGATCCTTCACATGTATAAAACATATACAACCAAAGACCCGTGGAGGAAGAGGAAAGTCTGGAAGAGTAGGACACAGAATAGAGAAAGGGGTTTTCATACCCAACACCTTAGATGGCATCCGATTTATCA